CTTATAAATAGTTGATGGGTCGGGTTCGAGTAGGGTAAAACTTATGCGGGTTGAGATTGAGTTTGTCGAAACCCACACTCATATCCGACCCGACCCGTTTTTCTCTAAGCCTTGTTGTTAGTAGGGTTATATATTTTAGCCATCAATGAGGTGTGTAGTCTAGACTGGGCCGGTCTTCTGCAACCCGGAAATATCAGTCTCGCCAGATGTTCAGCTCAAGCGACTAACAAAGAACTTTCGTTCAGAATATCAAAAACATCTATGTACGTCTTCCTCGCACCATCCAAATGAGTTTTCGCGCCAAATTTGTCCCCCATGCCAGTAGCCAGCTCCGGCGACCTCAAAACCTAATAAGCCGTCTCTTGTTCCTTCTCGAACGCTGCAAATCGTCCAGATCAGTGCAGCAGGTTCACGCCCAGATGCTCGTTCGCTCCATAGCGATGCCCATGCCCAATTACATCCTCGCCAAACTAATCGACCTCAAGGACTTCAGCTACTCCACTCTTTTCTTTCCCCAAATCCCCCTCAACAGCTACGCCTTCAACGTGATGATCAGGGGGTTGGTCACTGCGTGGCAGAAATTCGACCTTGCCTTACAATTACTCATCGAGATGAAATCGCTTGGCGTGAATCCGGACAATTTCACGTACCCGTTCATCTTCAAGTCCTGTGGGAACATTTCAGCCCTGAGAATGGGGGAAACTGTCCATTCCGAGGTTGTGAAATCTGGGCTGCGAGCGGATTTCCACGTGGTTCATTCTTTGATCACGATGTACTCGCGCTGCAGAGAGATGGATTGTGCTCGGAACCTGTTCTATGAAATGACTGATCGGGATATGGTTTCATGGAACTCGATAATATCGGGATACTCGAGGTTAGGGTTTGCACGGAAGGCGGTCGAAATGTTTGGAGAGATGAGGAATGATGGATTTGAACCCGATGAGATGACGCTCGTGAGCGTGCTTGCTGCCTGTGGTGATTTGGGGGACCTCAGCCTGGGAAGATGGATTGAGGGGTATGTTGTTGAGAAACGGTTGGAGTATAATTCATATATTGGTTCTGCTTTGATTAATATGTACGGGAAATGTGGGGAACTCGAGTCTGCACGAAGGGTTTTTGATAGCATGAAAAGGAAAGAGCTAGTCATTTGGAATTCCCTAATTACTGGGTAGATATATTTCTCCATGCAGAATTAGCTTGTTTATATATTTATTGGTTCATCTTTAATTTGCAGGGCCTATCTTGTTAACCACATTTCATAATACAGGTTCTTGCATGTGGTACTTTTACTACGTTTCCGATGGTTTGATTTTGGGTTTATTGTGAAAACAGATACTCACAAAATGGACAGACAGATGAAACTCTGAAATTATTCAATGACATGATGGAGACGGGACCTGAACCTAATGAAGTCACACTGATTGCGGTTCTAGCTGCTTGTGCGTCAGTTGGAGCTCTTGATACTGGGAAATGGATCGATGAATATGCGTCCAAAAGAAGGTTGCAGTGTAACATTTATGTAGCTACTGCTCTAGTTGACATGTATTCGAAATGTGGGAATTTGGAATACGCGTCACGCGTATTTGAAAGTATGCCTCTTCGAAACCATGTTTCTTGGAATGCAATGATATCTGGACTTGCTTTTCACGGGAATGCACAGAAATCGCTCGCCTTATTTCAACGCATGTTGGATGAGGAAAAGGTTTTGTGTCCAGATGATATCACTTTTGTCGGGATTCTTTCTGCATGTGTTCATGCAGGTTTGGTCGATGAAGGTTGTAGATTGTTTAATATGATGAGCTTATCTTTCGGGCTAACTCCAAAAGTCGCGCACTACTCTTGCATGGTTGATCTTCTATCCCGTGCNCGGACGGATTTATGAAGCTTGGGACTTTATTCAGAAAATGCCACAGAAACCGGACGAGATTTTATTAGGGGCTTTGCTGGGTGCCTGCCAGAAGCTAAAAAACGTGGATATTGGTGAAAAGGCCATGGAACTTCTGTTAGAATTGGAACCTTCAAATTCTGGCAACTATATTATCTCGTCAAAAATATATGCTGATATGAGGAGGTGGGACGATTGTGCTAGAATGAGATTGTTAATGAAACAGAAGGGTGTAACTAAGACCCCGGGATGTAGCTGGATCGAGATGGATGGACATCTTCATGAATTTCATGCAGGTTGTTTGTTAGTTGAAGATGGAGATGAGATTCACAAGATTCTTGACTTGGTATATGAAGTCATGATGATGGAAGATAGCACACATTTAGATTCTTAATACATAAGGTAATGTAGAAAGCACTGTAGCTTATGGTTCTCATCATATTAATTCTTCCACTTACATTCCTTATATCTATAAGTAGCTGGCGAAATACTTCCAGCAGAAGATTAAACCTTGGCTAACTTGTTAACAAAGTTTTTTTCTTGGTGTTCAAGTTGGAAGGTATATAACAATCTGAAGATGAAATATTTAAAGTATCCAAAAGCATTTGTCTAAAGGTTCTGAGGCATGAGTGACGGCATTCAACCATCGGCATAGCGACTATCTGTGAAGGAATTATTATCAGGTACTGATCAAAATTCTGTCTCCCATGAGCTAGAAAAGTTTTGTGCAACTTCCTTGTGCTTCTTTTTATATCTTGCTATATGGCGACAATGTTTGTAAGAAGAATCACTATAGAATATACAAACAGGAAACCTTCTTGTTTATCTACTCATCCGACCCCCTTTTTCTCCAGTGTCATCTTATGCCAATCAAATTAAAGTATGATCTGAAAAAGGAGAAAAGAGAAGGAAAGAAAAAAAATAAAAGACAGGCCACAAAGTCATACAAACTAACTTTAATTACTTTCAACCTAGAATTCTTCACATCACAAAAAACTTTAATTAATGTGCCATCATTTGTTCTCACAGGTCTTACGCTTGTATTCTAAACCCATATGGCTGCAGTTTTCAACCCTGAATGAATATTAGTGACGTTAGAACTTGATGATTTTGGGAGTGCTTGTTCAAGCATCCATTGAGCCTGCACCTGAGAGTTTTCATCTCGGGTAACAATTTCTGAATATGTATGTGTTCTCTTTTCCATGTTCAATATTGTTGTGCACATATGCTGCTGTGATCTCACAACTGTATATTTAATATTTATAGATCTATAATTGTCAACTTATCGTTCTCACAATAATTGTGTTATTTGAACTTTAACATATCAACTTGAAATATTAAGATTTGATTTTCAACATTTGAGGAAATATGAAAATTCAATTTTCAACTTTTGACTTGGAAATGTAGTTACAGAATATTTCACATAAATATGCACCCATACACCTGAACCAACGACAAAAATCTTAGGACGCTTCTAGGGTCAAAGTACTTTGTGAAGAAAACTTGTTACTGCAGTTATGAAGAATATGCAGACAATCTCTCATGGATGGTCGATTGGAAGGTGATGTGGCAGTACAGACAACTCCTAATCGGAAAACGGTGATTATTTGATCCAAATACATGGTTCCTTGATCTCCTCATCCAATGCGTAAAAAAGGGCATCCGTGTCCCTGAATTGTTGTAGTGCCCATCCAGCTAGATTTGTATGTTCTCCTCGAGTAACTGCCTTTCTCCCTGTAGTCAGTTCAAGTAGAACTACCCCAAAGCTATAAACATCGCTCTTTGTGTTCACTTTACTCGTGTAGGCATACTCTGTGGTTCAATGGTTCGGAAGGTGTGTATTAGAATATGAGTTAAAAATAATCCACTTCATTATAATTAAATGAGGCACATGGTGCTTCAGGTAAATTCTATCCTAGGTAAGAGAGATTTATACTAGAACTGTAATGTTGTTGAGAATTAGAAGTCCAGAAATTGTTCTGTAATGTGGTTTCCAATATAACTAAAGCAGTGTACAAATAGTTATTTTATACTAAAAAATTAATTCAAAATAAATAAGGATAAGAATGTCAAAACATACTTGTCTTTTACTTCTACAAATCAAAAGCACTACCACCTACACTCCTGCTTTTGAATTTTGTAGAATTTAAGATTGGCATTTAAAACACAAAAAGTTGTATTTTACTCCTCTTGTAAAGCTAGCAATCACTTATTCTTTTTTCCTCACTAAATTAAAATATGAGATAAAATGCATACCAGGGGCAATGTAGCCAAAAATTCCAGCTACAGCAGATGCTGTCTCTGTATCTCCATGCCCATTTAGCAACTTAGCTAGACCAAAATCTGCTATTTTAGCATTGAATTCAGTGTCCAATAGTATATTGCTCGATTTAATGTCTCGGTGGATTACAGGTGGAGAACAATCATGGTGCATGTAGCAAAGGCCTTGGGCTGCACCTATCGCAATATTCAACCTCATTGGCCAATCCAGTTTTGTGATTGAACTATTATTATCACCATCTGACGATACTAATTCCCTCTTGTTGTCATGCAGCCACTGATCAAGGCTCATATTCTCGAAATATTGGTACATGAGAAGCTTCATGTTGTTGTTTGACATACAACAAAAGAGCTTTACTATATTGTAATGCCTGATAGTCCCCAGTGTCTCAATCTCGGCCATAAATTCCTTCTCAAGCCGGTGGTTAGATTTTGTCGAATTCGATATGCTTTTGACAGCATACATGCTTCCTGTTTGGTTGATATAAACTCGGTACACTTTTCCTGAGCCTCCATTTCCTATGAGATTTCCGTCTGTCAAGCTCGTTA